CCTAGTTAAATTAGAAATTTTAAATTTCAAGTTATAGACTAATTAGAATAGGAGTTCTGGTAAGAGTCTTAGTAGTTTCTATATAAATATGCATGCAGTTTCTTTCATTGTTAAGTTAATAATATTCAAAATTTTCCAGCAAGTTTTGCTCTTGATTGTGTGATGCAATCTTGGTTCTGTGATGCAACTAACCTTAGGTGTGATGCTTAAGGGTATGCCTAAAGAAACCTAGGTGTGACTCCTAGTCTTTTTCTATCCTTCTCGTTGTTTGTTTTCTATTTCTTCCTCTTTCCTATCCTAAACAGACCCTATTGTACTGTTCACGCATACTATTCACAGTATATATTTGCCTAAACAGCCTCAAAATCCCCAACCCACCATACCCCTAACCTGTCCCGCATCAGTGGCTGAGTATATGCAGAATTTTGATGAGCTAAAGATCTGCAGTCAAGTTGTGGAAGATGCCTCACAAGCTGCCTCTTGGTTTAGAGCTGGTCTAAGAGCTGATATCAAAAATGAATTACTTAGACAGCCTATTTATAGTGTTGAAGATGTATCCCAAGCAGCACTTAATGCAGAAGAATATATAAACAACCAGAATAGTAAGAAAAATCGGCTCCAAATAGGGGAGGTAGTAGCAAAAAAGAATTCTGATGAATATTCAGAGGCTTTACAGGTTTCAAACAACTACAATGGGCCAAATAATACTTCCAAGAAAGGAAGAGAAAAGGTTTTCACATTCAACAAAACGGTAATGAAAGTGTAACTTGCTTCAAGTGTGGGGAAGATGGACATATGGCCCATCAATGTCAAAGAAGAAACAATCTGCATATGGGAAAAGCACAAGATGATGAAAAACAGCAAGTTGAAGATACTAAAGAAAATTCCTATGATTTTGGAGTTTATATGCCTGATGATCTTGAAGATGATGAAGATAATTCCCATTTATCTTTTGTTAGGTGCATCTTAACAGCCCCTAAGGTAAAGGAAAAATATTGGAGACGAAATTCACTATTCCAAACCTTAGTTCGTTGTGGAGATCAAGCTAAAAAACTTATCATAGACAGTGGAAGTTGAATGAATGTTATATTAGAATCCACAGTGGAACACCTCCAACTTCCCACAAAATTACATCCTCAACCATATAAAGTAGCTTCGTTAAATGATGCAGCAATACCAGTAACTCAACAATGCCTTGTTTCTTTTAGCTATGGTGCCTATAGTGACTCAATACTATGTGATGTTATTCCTATGAAAGTCACACACATTCTTCTTGGAAGACCTTGGCTCTATGACAAAAATGTGAGTTATAATGGACGACAAAACACCTATTCATTTTCTGCTGGAAACAAAACCATTGTGCTGCAGCCCATGAGCTCACTTCAGATTAAGAGCTACGAAGAAAAGATTTCACCACAACCTATAGTACTGTTGAAGGTAAAAGGAAATCTCTCAATATCTTAGACAAGAAGAGCTGGAGTCACTACCACTGAATTACCTTGCAGCTACAAGATTGCCACTTCAGCACTTCAAAACTCGAGGTCGAGTTTTCTCCAACAAGGGGAGAATGATGAGGAACAAGAAGAAGCTATTCAATAGTTATTTAGATTATTTGGAATTCTTAAGTAATTATTTTTATTCAAGTGTAATTATCATTAGTTTTCTACTTTTATTAGGATTTGGTCTTTTATCAAAAGTCTTAAGTCCTAGTTAAATTAGAAATTTTAAATTTCAAGTTATAGACTAATTAGAATAGGAGTTCTGGTAAGAGTCTTAGTAGTTTCTATATAAATATGCATGTAGTTTCTTTCATTATTAAGTTAATAATATTCAAAATTTTCCAGCAAGTTTTGCTCTTGACTGTGTGATGTAATCTTGGTTGTGTGATGCAACTAGCCTTAGGTGTGATGCTTAAGGGTTTTATCCTCTTCAGGTGTGATGCCTAAAGAAACCTAAGTGTGACTCCTAATCTTTTTCTATCCTTCTCGTTGTTTGTTTTCTATTTCACAGTATATACTTGCCCAAACAGCCTCAAAATCCCCAAGCCCACCATACCCCTAACCTGTCCCGCATCACATGGTTTATTAGAAGTTCAAATTAGAATTGAATTAGGATTCTTGGTTATTGTTAGTAGATATAATTATCTTTAGATCTTTAGATCAGTTTTTGTTATGATATTTTAGTTTGAGAATAAACTTGAGGTTGCAAACCTAAATTTTATTGGTTCCATCTTTAATTTTACAAAGTTCTTAGTTTCTGTTTGTTCTACCCCTACCTTCCCTCCATCACTAATTTTGCAATGCACTAATCTCTAATTAAAAAAAAAAATGCACTGATCTCTAATTAAAAAAAAAAAAAAAACCTTAGGACCCATCAAATTCCGATAAAATAAAGTCAAGATGAAAAATTGTAAGAAACCAAGGTTTTGTTCCGAAGAAAAAAGGAAAGGTTTGGAGTGGGTGTACTCGGTTGCCGCCGACGGTGGCGAAAACGTTGAAGTAGCGAGAGTCAATGAAGTTGAAAACGACGGCGTATAAGGGGCGCTTCCCTTCTTGGAGACGGTTGGCGACTCTGTATTCTCTCTTCTTGGACGGAGTCAGCGAACCCACCACCGGCTCCAGCCCTATCGGCGTCTTCGCCATTGCCTGACCGGACAAGCCGACGATCAACAACACACGACCGCACGAGGGCTTAGGAGTAAGTACAATAGTTGTCTGCTTTTCATAGGCTTATTCTGGTAGCGTTCGCGTAATTTGGTTTGAATTTTAATTTTTTTAAGGTAAAAATATGACATAAGGACCGAACTTACACAAAATTCGTAATTTTAGACCCAAACTTCAATTGCACTCAATTAAAGTCTCGAACTCCACGAAATTCTCAAATAAGGTCCCAATTATACGGAAAACTAACTTTCTCGAATCTCCTACAAACACCGTTAATGTCCGTCACACTCCTCTCGAACCAAAACTGCCAGATCGCCATGAAAACATGCAAAACAGTGCACCCCTTCGCAAAGTAGGACTGGAAATCTTTGTCCCTAACGAAGGAAACCATAAATAGCAAGAATCCGATTGCGAATAGGAGCAATCCGGAGAAGGATTCGGAGGTCCGGATCAAGAGCTAGTCATGTGGAGTCGAACCTAGGAGCTTCGTGGCAGTCTCGACACCGTGCGTGAAGGTGTAGATTTCCTTCATGTTGAACATCATCAGCGCGCCACTTCCAAGGGCGATCAAGGGGTGGAGGAGGCAGATGACGACGAAGACCGATGACGAAAATGCCCGCAATGCAGAGGAGGATGACGACGATGACAACATTTGCCTCCGTCGGAAATGATGACTACTCCACCCACTGTCGAACCGTCTCCATCTCCGTCTGTAATGATGAACCGTTTCTAGATGAGAAATTTTCCAGATCTGACCGTACCTGAGTGAATTTAAAATGGTTAAATACCCAATTTCGAACCAAGTTTGTCCCTAAACTTTTAGAGATTACCAAAATCATCCTTAAACTTCAATTTTTCGTTACCAACTCGTTACCAACTCAATCCTTCCGTCAACGAAATTGCCAGATGTCACGTTAACTTGCCACGAATTTTAACTTTTTAAATTTAAATGATGATATGTAAAGAAAACAAGCATGTATTGCTGACTTGGACATTATATTAATATCCATATTGCAACATTTTGATCTAAATGGACCCATTTCTCTTAAATTAAATTAAATCATTTTGATGATGTCTAAAAATATTAAATGACTTTGATTATTATATATTTAATACTAATTAAGATGAAATAAACTCATAATTAAAACTTTTTTTTTTTTTGGAAAATCAAGGTTTCGATCTGGGTTCACCACCGGAGAACTCATCTTCGCCTTCTTCGGAGGAAAACCCAGATCAGAATATGGGTTTCTTAAAAAGCTCCAACATAAACAAATTCCTTTCATCCTCAATGCTCCTCTCTCACATATCTACATATAAAAATCAACAATTTTACTAGAATCACAATCTTAGAAAAACCAATTTCTTCATATTTCTAGTTCTCAGCATCACTAAACCATCAAAATTGATAGTTCACACACACCAAATCAAAGAATTTCCGCAAGAACAAAAAATCAAAAACCCTATTCTTAAATATTCACAAATCCCAGAAATCCTTAACCTACAATCCAAAACTAATCTTTATCTTCTTTGAATGGATATTTGGATTTCGTGGCAAATCGAGACCTAAAGCAAGCTATAACAATCGAGCCTTGCAATCTGTCCTTGAAGGCTTCAATTGACTCCATGCAAGGTTTGCAATCCAGATTTGGGTTTGATTGATTCCCATACGCAGACTACAGTAGTTAATCTGGGTTCTCCATACCACACACAAAGTTCAAAACCCAGTCTAGGTTCGATCTGGGTTTGGCAATCCAGATCCCAACCAAAAAAGGAAAATGAGGGAGGAGAGAGAGATTTTAAAATCTAGAACTGAATCCGTATAAAGAAGGTTAGATGGTTTCATTACCATGGATACTGAGGGTATTAAGAGATGGTGACAGTACTTGTTTGGGCAATCCACGACTACCTCTCTTGTATGGATAATGATAACATTCGCTGAGGAAAACCCATAAACCACAAAGTCTTTTGGCAAGGATATTGCTGTGTTGGCCGGAGAGGAATGAAGAGAGAGAGGGAGAGGGATGAAGAGAACATCGGAGAAGGAAGAAAAAGAAACATGGAAGAAAGAGGGACATCGGGGAAGATGAAGAATGAGGGGTAGGGTAGTTACGTAATTTCATGAACTTTAATTTAACCATTTAAAATTTACCCACACTTGATCTAGTTGCGTTACAATTGGTTGGAATGTGACGGACATTAATGGTGTTAACGGTGTTTGTAGGAGATTTAATCGGAAGTTAATTTTTCGTTCAATTGGGATCTTATTTGAAAATTTCTTGGAGTTCGAGACCTTAATTAAGAGCAATTGAAGTTCGGGTCCAAAATTATAAATTTTGTGTAAGTTCAAGTCCTTATGTCATATTTTTGCCTTTTTTTTTAAATTAATTTAGTTTAGTTTATTATTATATGATAATTATATCAATCTAATTTAAATTAAGTCGATGTAATTCAGTTAGATTATTTGATTTTTAATATTATTAAATATACAAAATAATATAAAAAATTTTAATATTAAATAAAAAATATAACTATAAAATAAATTAATATCCAAATTACTAGAAACATAAGTTTTTATACTTATTTACAATGGTAAATATTGAAAAAATTAAAAA